AGTCATTTTCAACTCCAGCAGCAGCGCACACATCGGAGTTTTGCGTGACAAGTGAACCAGTCTATACAGCACACCAAGTCACTTTGTATCACCTGCGACTTCTGCCACCGGGACTGCCGGATTTGTAGAGGCTTCTGGTGCAGAATTCCGTCTAGCATTCGGCTCGGCTTCTGGTGCGGAACTCGGTGGAGGATTCCCCTTGGCTTCTGGTGCGGAATTCGGTGGAGGATTCCGCTGGGCTTCTGGTGTGGAATCTGGCGCGGAATTCCGCTCGGCTTCTGGTGCAGGATTCCGCTTTGCTCCCAGATGCAAGTCCGCAGCTTGCGGCGGAGGCATGGATGATCCGGTTGCGGGCGCGGATGGTGCGGATGGCGGGGGCACCACCACGGGGTGCCTCGGGGCTGGTGGCGGGAAGGGCGGATTCGAGGAATCTGGTGCCGTGGCAGTGGCTTCGGGGGAAGGCTTGCCCCTTGGCGCTGCAGTCCACACTGCTTGCGAGCCCGACTTAGCCGCAGTCAGCACAGGCGGTGGTGCGGGGATCGAGGCTGCAAGCTCTTGCATTTTCTGTGCATACTGCTCTGGAGTCAGAGGTGGCGGGGGCACAGGTAATCCCGCAGACAAGCATCGACGGGCTGCAGGTGTTGTCCTGGGCATGGCCTTGGGAGGCGCAGGCCATTCATCTTGAGGGTCGAACTTGCGCTTGTAGCCATTGAAGGTGAGGTCCTCATGCGGCTCGTTGCTGCCTGTGCCACGAACTTGCGCCTCCTGTATGCCCGAAGCCACACGCATGAACTGAGCAGACAGGTTCCGCGCTGCAGGTGTTGAGTCAGGGGTCGGGCCGGTTGCTCTGGGTAGGGGCGTTGATGCTGCCCGTGCTTTTGCTCTGCACTGCTCCATCAATGCTTCTAGTTCCACAGCTTTGGCTGCCCAATCAACTTGTTGCTCCTCATCCTGCACATGGCCCGCCAACTGGGCTGTTGTCGCATCCAGTTCATGCTGCAGCTGTGTCGGTGATGCCATATTCACATCATGCTCGCGCTCCATTTGTCTCTTATACGCAGCATCTGACACATGCGTATCCCACGCGTGGTCGCGGATTTGGCTCGGAGCAGGGCTTGCTGCGGCTTGCGGCTGCGTGGCAAGAGGTGTTGCGGGCGGGTGTGCGGCGGTAGGGCAGTCGTTTGCAGGCGGGGCTGTCACCACCTGAGGTGCTGCACCTTGCTGCCTCTCCAACTTTAAAAGCTCTTGCGCAGCTTGAGCGGTTGCTTTTGTGCCAGCGAGGTCCGGATGGACCTCCCTGGCTGGTGCTTGGTTGGTGTGTGTTGGGCCGGCTGCTGCACGTGGGCTCTGTGCTTCATCAACAAACGTGTCTTGCCAGGACTGTTGGCGCTGGTGCTCCTGTTGCCAATAGTAATGCTCTGCTGCGTGCTGACTCAGCTGAAACTGTTGGATTTGCAAAGCACGCTGCATGGCGAGTCGGTTCCTCTCACGGGCTGCTGCTTCTTCCTTCATCACATTCAGCTGCTGCTGAGCCAGCCATTCTTCATCTTGGTATGCTTGTTCTTGCAGTCGTTGCTCTTCCTGCAATCGTTGCAGCTGCACGGCGGCTGCTGCCTTGCTTTGCTCGGCCATGGTCTGGTACACCACGCTCTGCTTCACAGACTCCTGAGACTGATGCATCATCAGCGTCGCTGCTGCTTGTACTTGCTGGGCTGCAAGTGCTCGTTGCTCATCACTATGGTGTTGTCCAGCTCGCTCCATGAGGGCCCTCTGCTCCATGCTCATATTGGCCATATGATATAGCTTGGCTTCAGCCTTGATGTTGTGAACCTGCTCCCTCGAAACACCCGTGGGCGATCCTCCAAACTCAGGCTTTGTCACTGCTTCCGGAACATTCGTGGGCATACCTTGTGTGCACTGCTGACATGTTTGTGGGTACACAGGCAAGCAACATGCAAAGCAATCAAGCAGCACGACAACATCATGTTTTGCTTGCAAACAAGAAGCCCGGTTTGTTGCCCAGCTTTGCCTCCATCAGCTTGGCGAGGAGCTGCCGGGATTGTGGAGTGTCGTCGAGCTGGTTCGCGAGGCGCCTTGACTCAGGAGAAAGTCCCCGTACTTTCTGCTGGAATTCTTGTTCTTCTGGCAGCTCCTCCTTCACCTTGGCATATATAGTGTTTCAGTGGATAAAGGGAGAACATGCAGCATAAAAGTCGCAATGCTGTTTGTCAATATAATGTATATAGCCTGGTCACCATCGGCACAGGGTTCATGGGCTGAGGCTGGCCTTCTAAGGCACGTATGCCTGCTTTCAGGGTTCCGCAGGACCAGGCCCTTGACATGCCCCGGGATTCAGGGCTCGAACACAAAATGATCTGCATGTTGTGCCCATGCAATGCACTTGCAAGATGATGCAACATATATGGCAACAACTGCTCATGTCTGGTCAACAATCAAGCAATCAAGCAGTCATGTCAGCAGCATGTGCAGAGCCCTTGCACTCTCAGGACGATGGGCGGGGCGCACCTTCGTGAAGCTCTGCCTCGAGTCCTGTCGAGAGCGAACAGAATAGAAAGG